CTATTGGCCATCCTTCTTTCCTCTTCAGAGAAGTTTCTCTTTAATAGACATTTTTTTATAATGTGTGCCAATACTGGGCTGGAACTTAGGCCTGGGTGCTGTCTCTAAGCTTTTCTGCTCAAGGCTGATGGTCAACCTCTTGAGCTACAGCTTTATTTCTGGATTGTGTGTGTGTGTGTGTGTGTGTGTGTGTGTGTGTGTAGTTCATTGGAGATAAGAATATCATGAACTTTCCTGCCTGGGCTGGCTTCCCATCTCAATTCTCAGATCTCAGTCTCCTGAGTAACTAGCATTATAAGCATGAGCCACTGGCTCCTGGCTTCTGATCATTTCTAATCAGGATAATAAGATAACATAAAAGATTAAAACCTAACGAAACTTTTATAGTCCTTCGTGGGTGGGTTCTTGTTAATACTATTTCTGTAATATCTAGAATACAAGTCTTAATCTTCTCAAAATTTAGTAGAGGAAGGGAATACCAGAATGGTACTTCAAATTCTGAAAGCATTTCTGACAACAAGATTATTCAAGAATCTTGCCACAAAGCCCTTAACACCCAATTTCTATAATGTGGATATCATTGTGGCTTTGAGAAAATGAAGAAGGAGGAGAAAAGCTCAAAGACAGCAGAGGGGGAAGGAGGTGCTTTGCAAATCCATATGTATTCATTTACAGAAGCTGCTTTGGAATTTTCAGCAAAGTTCAAATTTGAACCAGATGTACACAAGGAAGGGAAAGCCCTTGGGAGATGGTGTAAATTTCATGACAACATTTCCTCAATTTTGCACTTTTGGGACACAACATACTCTTTTCCCTCTTCTTTTTTTTTTTTTTTTTTTTTTTGTGTGCAGATCCTGGAGCTTGAACGGAGAGCCTAGATGCTGTCCTTGAGCTTTTTGTTACTCAAGGATAGTAGTCTACCACTTGAGCCACAGCTTCACTATTGGCTTGTGTATGTGGTGTGTGTGTGTGTGTGTGTGTGTGTGTGTGTGTTTAATTGAAGATAAAAGTCTCATGTACTTTCTTACCAGGGCTGGCTTTGAACCAGAATCCTCAGATCTTAGCAGATCTCACCCTTCTGAGCTAGGGTTGTAGTTGTAAGCCACCAGCATCTAGCTTTTTTTTTTAAAAAAAAAAATTTCTTTAAATAACAAAGATTTTGGCTCTAAGTGTTCAAATCAAGGTAACAAATCAAATTCAAAAGGTACTTTTCTGGAAAAAAAATAGTGTTAGGAATTTCATCTCTTCTAGAAGCATAAATCAGAGAAGTTCTTTACTTGTTTGGTACTAGGGTTTGAACTCAGGACTTCACACTTGCTAGGCAAGTGCTGAACCACTTGAGGTATGCCCACAGCCTTGTTTGTGCTGGTTATTCTTGTGATAGGATCCCCTTTCTGAAGGGTACATGTTTTGCTAGGCTAGATTTTTTTTTCCAGCCTATCTTGTGACCAGGAACACCTGAAATGCTTGGTCCAACTACACAGACCCTACCTTCGATCCCTTGAATGAGCGCACTTCTTAAGGGAACTGGGCCTCTAAGCATTTCACAGTTCCCCAGATGAGTCTAATCATGAGGCTCCAGTGGGACTTAAATGTGCTGACCAAGTTCAGGGGCCTTCTACCTTCCCTGCCCTCTTCCAATTACCAGGTTCGTGGCCTAGTTGGCTGAAAAGCCCCATAACTGGCTGCTTTGGTAAGAGCTTATATCGCATTTCTCAGCTCAGAGAGAGCAACCGAGTTACTGCCTGAAGAGCTTTATAAAAGTAGGAAGCATGGATATCACCCAGATCAACTACTTCAAGACCTCTTCAATTGAACCCAAAACCAACCTTCCTTCCTTCCTTCCTTCCTTCCTTCCTTCCTGCTTGCCTGCCTGCCTTCCTTCCTTCTTCCCCACCTGCTCTCCCTCCCTCCATTTCTTTTTGTGCAGGTAGTGGGGCTTACACCGATCCACACTTACAGTTTTTGCTAGCTAATTGGAGAAAAGAGTCTCTTGAGTTTATTTGTCAGGCTGGCTTCAAACCAAGATCTTCAGATCTCAGCCTCCTGACTAGCTAGGATTATAGGTGAGAGTCACCAGCCCAGCTCCAGAGATTTGTTCTCACACCCAGAACACCAAGCATCATAAGACATTCCCTTTTCTTCCCTGGTCCAACCCAACAATCTTAGCTTCCAGTAGAAGGAAAAAGAAACAAGTACTACAAAGAAGTTACAGAAGGCAGACTGTTCTGGGACATTGGGATTCATGAATTCTCCATCAAGATAAAGTAAAACAGAGGGCCTGGAACAGTCATGTTGGATTGTTTATACCCTCTTATTCAATCTGCCATTCTACCTCACTGAAATGTACTTGTTGATATCTCTTTTAAGGCAGCTGTGTTTGGTGGAGACTTGTTTTTACCATAGACTTGGGAGCTCCTGGGGAAGCAGTCATTCCATTACTGTGTCTAGCATCTATAGTCTGAGGATGAACAGAGGCTCAGTAATGCTGAACAATCAACACAGTTGTCTCAGTTCAGAGCTTTCCCCACCTCTCCACCTCTTCTGCACAGGAGGGTGGGCATGGCAATCTGGTGAGCAAAAAAAAGAGTCTCCTCCTAAAGTGGCATGGCTGGAATATTGACTTCTGAGGCACTCATGTCACTGAAGGACAGAGTGTGGTGAACCAAGTTCCTGCAGTATCTCTCATCCTCACAATCAAAGCCAGCGCTTGCCCCGTTCATAACCTATGCTTCTCTCATGAGTATCAGTAAACACTTTGATACCACTCCAGTGTATCTTTTCTTTTCTGCCCTATGCTGAAATAAGGAATACGCTGAGAAGCCATAGGAAATAAACTTTCGCCTTGCAAGAAGATTCCTGTGACACCACTAAAAAAAAAACAAAACTGCTTCGCAAGCTTCATGCTAATGGCTTTCGCTTATGCTCACCCTAATGATACCAGAGCTGTTACAAATGCCTTATGAGCCCTCTCTGCTTCCTCTTTTTATTACCATGCTGTCTTCTTTAAAAATTAGTAGTGCTTTGGATTCCACATGTAACTTGACAGGTAACTTAAAAGGAATGCTTGTAGAAACTTATCTACAAGGACAAGAATGGTCGGTATTATTATTTATAGTAGCTTTTGTGCCCTTCTGAATTTTGTTTTGTTTTATTAAACTTCATGGAAGACTTTTATTTGGTGTTCCTCAATTAACCATAAGTAAGAAATGACATCACCAACGGTGAGGCTTGGCTGGGAATTTCACTTAGGCTGGGGATTATGTGTGTCTCAATGTTACAGAGGACTGAAAACCCAACTCCTGGAGAAAATGTTACACTAACATAAGATCTTACCTGGGGGCTGGGAAGGTGGCTCAGTGGTAGAGTGTTTGCCTCACATGCATGAGGCCCTGGGTTCGATTCCTCAGCACCACATGAGCAGAAAAAAGCTGGAAGTGGTGCTGTGGCTTAAGTGGTAGGGCACTAGCCTTGAGCTGAAGAGCTGAAGGACAGTGCCTAGGCCCACAGTTCAGGCCCCACCACTGACAATAAGAAAAAGATCTTACTTGGTAAAGTCCTATTTTAATGAATAAGTATTGAAGATGTAAGTCAGTATTTAGTATCTTTGTATTGGTTTCATCTAGCTGCTTGAGCTTGATTTTTGTTTGTTTGTTTCTTAGATAATTCTTGAACTCATCTTCTACTTCCCTTTTTAACAGAACCACAGTGACTTCATTCACCCACCACAGCCTGTGTATATAACTGAGAAACACCCAGACCATTCTGTAGAACCTCACCCACGCCATCATCCCAGCCCTAATACCTGACTGTGTTTCCAGAGGTTGAGCCTTTAATCTGGTTCCTTAGTTTTTCCTCTTTTCCCTATGAATATGCAGTATGCATGCTGAGCCATGAGTGAATTCGACTTCCAAAATTGCAATCATTCACTGCAAAAGAAGAGTACTTTTGTTCTCCATGTATCCCCACTAATAATGGCAATGTTCTCTTCTTTTTTCCCAGTACAGGCATGCCTACATTGTGAAATCCAGATATGGGATCCCAAAGCCATCTATCTTGGGTTATTCCCAAAAGGAAGTCTATTAACTGAAGCTTGAGAACTAAGTACATTACTTCTATTAACTGCATATCAAGCCAACAAGCTAAGTAATGACTGAGTTTTCCTTTCTAATATACAGCCATCATCTGCATTTAGTAGCACTATTCCTTGAACAGATGTGCTTTTCAATCTTCTTCCTTTCTTAGGAACATAGGGTTTTTGCTTAATTGTGTGTTTATATTCTCCAACTGTTTCAAAAGGTATTTCTGAACACACCCAGACATCCCTCCCCACCAAGAGCCCAGAGACAAGAAAATCACAGCATCATCACAACTGGGTGCAGGCAGCTTCCACATCAACCACCCAATTAGCTCGTATTCTTTGACTAAATACTCTATAACTAATGCGGTCAGCCTTGATACTTTGATTTCAGAAGCTTTAGAAATATCTGTGAGTTACCTGAATATGATAGATTTAGAAGTATGAAAGACAGGCCAGAAGCATTTCACAGACAGTCAGAAAACTAGAATTTCACAGCAAAGACACAGAAGGGTATATCAAATTCCCTCCACGATAGTGTTTGGAATAACTAGGCGCATTAACAGGTTTTGTTCAACATTTCTCTTTATCAATAAAAAAAGAGAAGCATCCACAAAGAATCAATATCCAAAGCACCACAGGCCACAGCTATACTTTCATGATTTTCTCCATGCTGAGTTTTAACAAAGAAAATTCTGCTATTATACTTATGAAAGGCACCCACTGGAAGCTGGTAGCGAAAGTGATAACTTTTTTTTCCTTATAAAAAGTATAATAAGCTCTTGGGTCACCTTCAAAATATGTTGACATTCTTTCCCTGGAGTTGAGTTTCTGTGGGATAAAGTGACCTGAGAAAGCTGGGAGGACACAAAATCATTGCTCAGCAGGAAAAGCACAGCGCTGTTGGCCTTGTCCGCGAGTCTCTGCCTGTAGCAAGGTCAAGATATTTAGCGTGAGCCAAGTGGTTTCTCAAGCAGTGGACATGCACAGATAGGCCGCTGGCCCACACCATGGTCTAACAGCTGCATGTCGTTCAGCCAATGCTTCTGTGAAAACTTGCCCAGTTCTGCAGAGCAAGGCTCACCCTGCAATTTCCCACTGAGTCAGGAGGTCGTGAAAATTCCACTGATGTTTTTAAATAGTCTTGGCTCCCACAAGCCACTTGTGGGGGAGGTATTGGAGTGTGCCTGTGTGTGTGTGGCTGGCAGAGATCTAACTGCAGGTTTCCAGTTGCTACATGTGGAGCGTTAGAAGGGACATCAGCTGCCTGGGAGTGACACTGGGAAGGTCTATTTACAGTGGCTCGACAGCGAAGCCAGGCACAAATGTGCAAATGATGATCATAGCAGGAATTAACTTCCTTAGTGGATGGGGACCCTGACTTTGTGGTCTCTTGGCTCCTATGAATAAGTTATTGGAGACCCCCCTGCTTTGAGCAGCTTTTAGAAAAGTGTACCCACAAACAACACACCGCAGTCACTGAATGAATTTTATGTGACCCCAGTTCTTTGTTGTTTCTTTTCAAGTAGGGAGAAGAAAGGTAGGATAGTTAGATGGTGACAGTGCCACAGGCACTTTGACAGATTCATCCCAACTGTGTTTGTCTTTTGCTGTTCTTTGATTTCTGAGAGTTTGGAGCTTGGACTAATCTATAGGCATCTTGTTATTCTCACCTCAGTCTGCTAATTCTGTCTATTGTGGATCTAAAACAAACAAACAAACAAACAACAACAAATACAAGGTGTGTCTCTTCTTCACCAAACAGTGAGCTCATTAGTAAGAGAAACTTCCTCTTGGATTGTCAGCCCTGTGTCCAGAACAGAATAAATTTAAATACATGGAAGCTTAATTCAGTTAATAGGAATATTAAGAGTTACACAAGTCTCAGTCCAGACTCCAAATTCCAAGTCTTGCAATTTACTTTGCTGTTGTTGTTGTTATTGTTGTAATCTGTAAGCTAATCGCTGGGGAAGATAAAGCAGTTAACTCATTCCTGACTTGACCTGAGGATACTTTTACTGACACATTTTCTTTTTGGTGCCAGTACTAGGTCTTGTATTTAGGGTCTATCTAATGTCCCTGAGCTTTTTCATTCAAGATTGGCACTCCACTACTTGAGCCACAGCTCCATTTCCAGTTTGGTGCAGTTAATTGGAGATAAGAGTCTCTCAGACTTTTCTGCCTGGCCTACTTTTGATCTGTGATCCTCAGGTCTCAGCCTCTTGAGTAGCTAGGATTATAGGCATGAGCCATTGATGCCCACCATTTTATTTCTTAACCCCAAATAAATACTAATGTTCTGGGGCTCTTGGCTGCTGGGATGGCATGAGATGCAGTGACCCTGGCACAGGTGCACTGTCTTTTCTAGCCATGTGCTATGTCTGTGCTTAGCTGTGTGCTCTCTAAACACACAAAATAAAACAAGCTTTATGGGATTTTTCCCCACAGAGACTTTTGTCTAAAGAGCTTTGAAATGTCCACATGTGAACAACAAGTGGCAAACATTCTCCTTTTCTTAAAATTCAGAAAAGCATTTACTTTTTTCTGAGGTTTATGTCTGATGTCCTCCTTCCTTCCTTCCCTCAATGATTAGCTTCTCTGTCAGAGAGCAAATCCATTAAGGGAGAAGAAGGGAAATTAGAAATAATTAGAAAAGGGTCACTGGACTAAGCACCAGTATTTGTAACAAAAACAAGATGAAAGGTAACTTGGGAGGGTGAGAAGAAGGTTGGAGCCACATATTGACATCAGCTTGTGTTTATATCTGGAATTTCACCCCAGCCATCACCATCAACAGCCTGGCTATTACCCTGCAGGCATTTTAAGGAAAAGTTCCTATGATTCATTCTCCAGAATGCCAAGGACAAGAAAGCTATGCCTTCTGTGGCCCTTAGCACACAGAGCACAGCTCCACTTGCCCCTTGGTCCCTCATTTGGGGTGGCCGATAAAGGAACTTGTCTTGCTGTCGCCATCTGACATCAGATCCCTGATTCAGGGGCCCTGCCTCAAACCATACAGATTTTTACATGGTTGAATTTTCTACTGAATGCAGACCTGTTATTCAATCTACCAAAGGCTGCGTCTCACTGCTCCTTGAAACAATCAGAGCAATTAATTCTCTGACAAAACCCCAAAGCCTGCTTCAACTTAAGTTGAGAACGATATAGCAAACTCTCTCAGATGCTACTGAGGACAACAAACAGAGTAACAAGTACGAACCTTCCATGGACAGATACTCACAACGATTAACAAATGGTCACCAAGCATCTGCAGACGCCAACAGTAAGAGCAGAAAGCTTAGACTATAGCACTACCCTGGCTGGCAGAGTCCAGATGCTCTGGCTCATGTGTACACCTCTGATGTCCACGTCAGTTATGCTTTTTGTCCTTCAGGTAGCTGAAGAGCATCTCCAGGCCCCCTTCCACCAGCTCTGGCAAGGGCTTGGACAGAGGGTTGTGGGAAATGTGGAGGCCTTTGTCCATGGGGTTCCAGGCAATCCGCCCCAGTCTACTGAGCAGATAGAGTTCATCTGGCAGGGTCTGGATGTCATTGTTGTTTAAGTTCAGCAGCTCCAAGCTTGTGACAAGGCAAAGAGATCTTGGGAAGGAGTGGATGTTATTGTTCTCAGCAATGAAAATCTGCAGGCTGGCCAGGCACTGGATGCTCTCGGCGATGTTTTCCAAGCGATTGGAGCCCACGTGTAAGAAATCCAGCTCCTTCAGGGAGAACACACAGATGGGGATGTGTACAAAATAGTTGTTGCTAAGGTTCAGCTTCCGCAGTCTGGAGAGGTCGGCGAAGCCTGCGGGAAGCTGGGACAGGCAGTTGTGTGACAAACTCAACACTTCTAAGCTTCTGCACAGGCTGAGCTCGGGAGGGACCTCGCTCAGGCAGTTCATGTTGACGAACAGGACTTTGAGGTTCTGTAGGAGGCTAATTTCTCTGGGTAGACTTTTCAGGCGGTTCCCACACAAGTTCAGGACCACGATCCGAGTCAGTTTCCCCACCTCAGGAGGGAGAATTCGGAGCTGATTGTGAGACAGATTGAGTTTCTGGACCTCAGACAAGCCCCACAGAAAGTCCGGGATGTCTGTCATTCCTTTTGTAACCAAGCTAAAACTGACATGGCACATGCCTCGCTTCAGCAGGGACCTTGGGTCCTTTCCCAAGAGCAGGGTATCATCCCATGCGGGAAACTTCTGTCGCCTCCCCAGGGTGGGCATCCTTTTGGGGTCCTTGTCCTTAGAGTTGGCTCTTGACTGCCTGGCTCCCATGGTCCCTTCCCTTCTCTTCCCTTCCCTTCTCTTCTCTTCTCTTCTCTTCTCTTCTCTTCTCTTCCCTTCCCTTCTCTTCTCTTCACTTCTCTTCTCTTCCCTTCCCTTCCCTTCCCTTCTTTTCTCTCCTCTCCTCTCCTTTTCCTCTTTCTCTTCCTCTTCTCCTCTCCTCTTCTTTCTTCTCCTTTTCTTTTACTTTCTCCTTCACTGTTGAAACTGTGTCCTGCCCCAGCTACTGTAAGGCAGGCTGTGGCAAGCAGGGACAGGGTTTAAGTTTGGCCATGAGGTTGCAGCATGGAGAAATTGATGAAAGAGTCTTAGTCAAGCTGTACAGTGTCCAAGATGGGCCCATGGGTGGCTACAGGAGAGCCACGCTTGTTCCTGCGAGTGAATTTAAGTGTCTTCTCTCTGAACAGTTGAGCTGTAACGATATACTTGTGTCCAAGTCTTCCAAACAGAACTGCTCAATTCCCTTTGAATGCCACAGTGACAGCTGTCACTGTCATTCTGCCGGAGTTGTATCGACCTGGTATGTGCAAACAGGTCACAGAGTGGCTGCAGCTAACTTTACCCACTCAGCCTTTCTTGGGTATCACAGTTGAGCAGGGTGATTAAAAGCTCATCTCTAAAAAAGAAGCAAAGTGGAAAATACCTAGGAGCCCGCACACAGCCATCTCTCCAGAGGATTGCAAAAACTGTCCGCTCATAACTAGACCAAGAGACAGAGCTATGGAGTTCAGATTTCAGAGCAAGAATCATTGGATGGCATGGGGCTTGTGGATTTCATAGGGGGACTTTAAATGCCACATTAGTGGCTGCCCTCAGCACATATAACAAATTGTCCTGAAAGACAGCCTTGTCCTCTCTGACATATACCAGTCCTCTTTCTTTCTTGAAAAATTATCCTGTATCCTAAGTATGCAGTGTTCATCCTCGGTGTTATGGGATGAACTGCATCTACCGCCCCAGTTCACATATTGACATAGATCCAAGGTTTTAGAGTATGGCTGTATTTAGACTATGTGAAAGGAGAAGATGGCCATCTGCAAAGCCTAAGAGAGAGACCTCAAGAGAAACCAGTGTCTGACTTCAGACTTTTAGTATCCAGAGTTGTGAGAGACATGCCTGATGTTGAATTGTTACATTCTGCTTCATTGTTACAGCAAACTAATACAGCTATATAGGGATAGATATATGTGCCTGTGGGTGGGTGAGAAACCCTAAAAATAGGGCATGATTAAAAGGAGGAGAAATAGCTAGGTGATGATCTAGAATCTGAGAAAGGGAGTAGTGATCCTGATGAGAGCAGAATTGGCCCAGAAGCATGTGGTTTGGGCTGGCAGCTCAGCTGGGCTGGAAAGGGAGGTTACTCAGTGACCTGACCTTGTGGGGCTAACCACCAGCCTAGGAGCTCCAGCTGGGACCTGCTTGGAGCTATCCAGGAACCTCTAAGTCCATCCCCATCCAGGGGGAAGCTCTGGGCCAGAGAAGTAGCAGGGCACACAGAGAGTGGGAGGCCCCTTTTCTCTCCTGTTAGCATTGGAAAGATCTGATTTCTCAGGACTGAGTTAGACAGGATTCTTTTTTCTTTTCTTTTTCTTTTCTTTTTATTGCAAAAATACCGTACAGAGGTGTTACAATTACATGCACAAGGTAATGAGTACATTTCTTATCAAGCATTGTTGGCTCCTCCTTTGTTTCCCCTTCCCATCCCTTCCCATCTCCCCCGACCTCCCCACCACCACCACTCCCCTACCCCCTCACCCCTGGCCAAAGTTGTAAAGTTCGTTTTTCAACATACCATCTTGTATATCTCATGGTTGCAATGGGTCCACCTGTATCCCTATTTAAACAATTTGTTTTCTCCCTTCCTTTCCACAAATTATACCAACATCAAATACAGTGAAAACAGGGGCTATACCGTGGGGGAGGGACATACAAAGCAACAAAGAAATCATCTTATAAATATGTTAGAAACAATCGCAAGAAAGAAAAACCATTTGAGTCCTTATCTTGGGGTTCATTTCGCCTAACTTCAGCTTATCTGACCATTTCTGTTTGTCTCAGACTGCAAATAAGGGAAACCATGGGACCTATGTTTCTTTGAGCCTGGATTACTTCATTTAATATAATTTTTTCCAAGTCTTTCCATTTCCTAACAAATGGGCAATGCCATTCTTTCTGATGGAGGCATCATATATACACAATGGATATATACATCCATTGTGTATATATACCATATTTTCCTGATCCATTTATCTACTGAGGGGCATATGGGTTGGTTCCATATCTTAGCTATGGTAAATAATGCTTCAATAAACATAGTTGTGCTGGTAGCTTTAGTATGGCCTTGTTTCTGATCATTTGGGTAACTGCCCAAAAGTGGGATTGCTGGGTCACAGGGGAGCTCTATGTGGAGTCTTTTGAGGAACCTCCATACTGCTTTCCAAAGTGGTTGAACAAGTTTACACTCCCACCAACAATGCAGTAGAGTTCCCTTCTGTCCACATCCCCTCCAGCATCTGTTGTTATTAGAGTTCTTGATTATAGTCATTCTAACTGGGGTGAGGTGGTATCTCAATGCTGTTTTGATTTGCATTTCTTTTATGGCTAGGGAGGTTGAACATTTCTTCATGTGTCTATTGGCCATCCTTCTTTCCTCTTCAGAGAAGTTTCTCTTTAAGTCTTTAGCCCACTTATTTATTGGGCGGTTGTTTTTTTGAGAATTTGTTGTTGGGGGATTTAATTTTTTGAGTTCCAAGTATATTTTAGATATGAGAGCCTTGTCCATTGTATGGCTAGTGAAGATCTTCTCCCAATCCGTGGGCTTTCTGTTGATCTTGCTAGTTATGTCCTTTGCCATGCAGAAGCTCTGCAACTTCATGCAATCCCATTTGTCCAACCTTTCTTTGATTTGTTGTGTTTCTGGGTCTCTATTAAGAAAATTTCAGCCTGTGGCAAGGAGACCTAGGGTTTCTCCTATTCCATCCTGTAATGTTTTCAGAGTATCTGCTTTGACTCTGAGGTTTTTGATCAATTTGGAGTTGATTCTGGTGCAGGGTGATATGTAAGGATCTAGCTTTAGTTTTCTACAGGTGATTAACCAATGTTACCAGGCTGTCTTTCTTCCATTCTGTTTTTTTAGCTCCCTTATCGAAGATTAGATGGCTATAGGTCTGTGGGTTCATTTCTGGGTTTTCAATTCTATTCCATTGGTCCTGAGGTCTGTTCTTGTGCCAGTACCAAGCTGTTTTGATTACTATAGCTTTGTAGTAGAGTTTAAAATTTGGTATTGATATTCCCCCTGTACTGTTCTTTCTATTAAGGATCCTTTTTGCTATTTGGGGTCTTTTATTATTCCATATGAATTTTTGGATTGCCTCTTCTATTTCCTTGAAGAATGAGGTTGTAATATTGATAGGTATCGCATTGAATTTGTAGATAGCCTTGGGAATTATTGCCATTTTCATGATGTTGATCTTTCCAATCCAGGAGCATGGGAGGTTTTTCCACTTTCTAAGTTTTGTTTTGATTTCCTTTTTCAGGTTTTTAAAGTTTTCATCATAGAGGTCCTTCACTTCTTTGGTTAAATTATTCCTAGGTGTTTTATTTTTTGTGGGGCTATTACGAATGTAGTTGCTTTCCTGATTTCAGCCACGCTTTTCTCATTGTTGACATACAGAAAAGCCATTGATTTTTGAGGGTTAATTTTATACCCTGCTACTTTGCCAATGTTTTGAATCAGCTTGAGTAATTTGGGAGTGGAGTCCGTGGGATTCTTTAAATACAAGATCATGTCATCTGCAAAGAGGGAGAGTTTTACTCCTTCTTTCCCTATTTGGATCTCTTTTATGTTTCCATCTTTAGAACAAAGGTGACTGGCATTTCTTTTTATGGGATACCTGACTATTCTAGTTTTTAAAATCAGGAAATAAATTAAGATTTTGGAGCAGACTATACAGAGCTACTGTTTAGAATGTTTAGAAAAGAAAGATTCAGGAGGCTTCTTCTTCCTTCTGTGAGTATCAAGGGTGAGTCAACACAGAGGAGGGAAGAACCAAGAAAGAGGCAGCTCCTCTCCTCTTTGGGACAATTCTTTCTTTCCTCTTGACATATATTTTTTTCCAATCAATGTTCTGGAGTACTGATGGACAGTCAGCATTTATCAAATATTTCCTACCTGAAAGTTATTTTTGTAGGCACATTTGTATATCTCCATGTTTCAGCTGAGGAAATAAAGTTAGAGAGAGATCATGGTACTTGGGAAGTCAACTCACTTGCTCAAGGTCAAATGGATAGTCAATGGCAATACTGGGATTCAAACTCAGTAAATCCAGCATCATAGCCCTGGCTGAGAGTCACAGAAACATAGCAGGCTCAGCTCTATAGAACAGCAATACTAGAAGTATGGACAGAACAGAGTTCCTTTTCTTCAAGGGCTACTGACTAAGACTGGAGGGAACATAGATTTTTAAATGACTGTAACAGCATACACAGAAATAATAGTATAATTAGGTGGTAGCTCCTCTTACTCTACCCATAGTATAACTGGAAGAGTAAAAGTTAAAAGATCACTGCAGAAAACTTTGGTAGTCGGGCTGGGAAGGTGGCTCAGTGGTAGAGCGCTTGCCTTGCATGCTCAAGGCCCTGGGTTCAATTCCTTAGCACCACATAAGCAGGAAAAAAAAAAGCCGGAAGTGGCTCTGTGGCTCAAGTAGTAGAGCACTAGCCTTGAGCTGAAGAGCTGAGGGACAGCACCCAGGCCCAGAGTTCAGGCCCACGACTGGACCCAAAAAAAACAAAACGAAAAAAAGAAAAAGAAAACTTTGGTAGTGGACTTATGCAAAAAAATAGTTCAGATGTTCTCATCTGTCAAATGGATGAGTTGTGAGAATAGCTGTCTAGGTTTCTTGGGAATGTTTGAAATGTAAATGTTCCTGCCTGGTTAATTTAGTCATCCAATCAGAACCTAGATAATATTCATGGTTTCTGGCCTCAGTTTCCTCATCTAAGAAACAGGCTGTGTAGAGGAGATGATTGCCCAGAGCCCTTCCTGCTCTTGGAGGTTGATCCTCACTACAAATAAGACTACAAGGTAGAATAGAAGACTATCAAGTTTAACCTTTTAATGGACAAAAAAAATTCATGTAAATTCCAAGATAGTTTGCATTTCGGTGACCTTCACATTGGCTTTTGAGGAATAAATAGGATCAAGAAATGTCATTCATCTCAGGATTCTATATGTAGACTATGCATTTGGTTGTTTTTTTTAATTCAACGTCTTCTTTCATTTTTTAATATTTTTATTTTATTGTTAAGAGTTTTACAGAGGGGTCACAGTTACATGAGTAGGGCAATGAGTACACTACTTGTCGATCATTGTTACCCCTTCCCTTCCTTGTAGCTGTCCCACTATCCCTTCCCTCCCCCACATCTCACACTCCTATCTCTCCTTCCCCCCTCGCCTCCCAAAGTTGTAAAGTTTGTCTCCAATATAATGCCCTGTTTCAGTGCATTGTTATTCCCCTTCTCCTCCCCAGATTAGACATATGTATATATAAGATGCAGAGTATCAAAATCACGTACAGTGACAACAGGGGATATGCCATGGAGAAAGATCATACAAAGGAAATAACAACAAAAAATTAAATCGCATGGTACCTTTAAAACAATAACAATAAAGACAGACCTCTTGTGTCCATATCTTGGGGTTTCTTTCACTTAGCATCATCTTATATGGTCATTTGTACATGTTTTTTGAGTTTTTCAGCTCATCTGATAAGATTATCCTATATGTATACTAATTATTACAAATAAGGGAAACCATGGGACCGAAATTTCTTTGGGACTGGGTAACTTTACTCAGTATGATTTTTTTCTGAGTCTTTCCATTTCCTAACAAAAGGGGGCGATGTTGTTCTTTCTGATGGAAATGCAGAATTCCATTGTATATATTTACCACATTTTCTTGATCCATTCACCTACTGAGGAGCATCTGGGTCAGTTGCATATCTTAGCTATGGTGAATAATGCTGCAATAAACATAGTGGTGCTGGCAGCTTTAGTATGGCCTTGTTTGTGATTGTTTGAGTAAATGCCCAGAGTGGGATTGCTAGGTCATAGGGGAGATTTATGTGGAGTCTTTTCAGGAAACTCCATCATTCTTTCCAGAGTGGTTGAACAAGTTTACACTCCTACCAACAATACAATAGTGTTCCCTTTTGGCCATATCCCCTCCAACATCTGTCATTATTAGATTTCTTGATTTTAGCCATTCTAACTGGGGTGAGGTGGAATCTCAATGTTGTTTTGATTTGCATTTCTTTTATGGCCAGAGAAGTTGAGCATTTCTTCATGTGTCTATTGGCCATTCTTATTTCTTCAGCGGTCTATCTTTAAGTCTTTAGCCCAATCATAACATACAGAGATGTAGTGAATGTGTTTCCCTATTGAATATATTTTATTGATTCTATAACTTCCTTATGTTTTA